TGAAGTGGGATGAATAGTAAAGAAAAAAGAAGATGGAAGATATGAAATAGAGCATTGGGACAGAAATAATATATCTAGACCAGATGAAATATTTCTATATCTATGCAAAGAATGCATAGAAAAAAACAATGAAGAAGGGTCCAGCATATACAAAAACAACAAGCAGTTTAAAGAAATAAAAAGAGCACTAGACAGTAGTTGGATTAAAAAGAACAATGACGAAAGCCAAGCAAGTTACAAGATAACAGTACTATGGGAAAACTTAGTGAGAACGAGAGAACTTCAAGCAGTAATAGAAGCAAAAAGAAGAGCAGAAAGACAAGTAACAGAGATAAGAATAGGTTTTGTTATTGAAGAAATAATATGAAGTTGTATAGAAGAAGTAGAAGTGGTAGTGAAACTAACAGCAATTTCAAAAGGCATTATAAAGTACAAAACATTTGAAGCATATACTAATGGCTCACTACAAATGCAAGAAGAAAGACTATCAAAAAAGGTAGCAGATTTTAATTGCACTATGATAGGTTGGCCTTCATCAACAAGGGCAGAGCTAGGTGCAATCTTGACTTTGCTTTTAGTCTTGTCAAAAGGAGCATTTATAAAGATATATACAGATAGCCAGGCAGCAATTCAAACAGTTCAAAAAATGGCAAAAATAATAAAAATACATAGCTACTTCAAAATAAAAAATAGAAATATTTTAAAACAAATAGAATATATAAGAAAAAGAAAGCAATTGAAGTTTGAACTGTATAAAGTGAAAGGACACAGTGGAATAAAAGAAAATGAAGAGGCAGATAAGCTAGCAAAGGAAGGTGCAAGGTCGAATAAGATTATCAAAGTATAGCTACTATGGACCAAGCTAATATATATTGTACCTAGGTAGAAAGAGTTAATAGTGAATAAGCCTATCAGAAGTTTTGTAAACTGGATTATAACAACAATTTTAGATGCAAAATAGGCAGAATTAAGTAGAATAAAAAGATGGATAGGGGAGAAAAGAGATAATAGTTTAGATTAGAGAGAAACATGGAAATATATAGAAGGAGTTAAGAGTAATAATTGTTTAGATAGTAAAACGAACAATAAATAGACGTTTAGGATGAAATGTTTAAATGAAGTATTGCCAACAATGACAGAGCTCAAATCAAGAAGGCCAGACCTATACAAGACCAACAAGTGCGTCACTTGCCAAGAAAAACCAGAAACAATAGACTATTTAACAAGCTGTGAAGACTATCAAGGCATATAGAGCATAATAGAAGAAGAAATATGCAATGAAATAAAAAAATCATAAAGAAAGAAGAACTTGCTGAAAGAATACCAACTAGAGCTACAATTAAAGAAAATATTTTCAGTACATCTAATGCAGAATAGATAGAAGTGAGAAGTCATATGATTAGAGATCTAATTAAGAAAGAGCAAAAGCAAAAATTAGTAAATATGCTTCAAAGTGAAAAAGCAGCCAGCAAGATAATAAGTGTAGCACTTAACAAGTTGGCAAGAGATTCCATTAGCATATCTGAAACTTTAGATGTAAGTTACAAATAGAGTGAGAAAAAAGAAAAGGAATCTCAAAGAAGAATAAGAAGACAAAAAAGGTCAACAAGAAAAAGAAGAAAAGGAAAAAAGAAGATGAGGAAAATAAAAAGAATTAAGCACAAATAGGTGAACAGAAAAACAAAAAGAAGAAATATGCAAGAGAAGTAGCATTTAAAAATATAAAAAACCAAGTATCAGATGATAAGAAACCAGATTAGTCTTTATGGATAAGTTGTAAAGTTAAAACAGATATAAATGGCAGTACTGACAAGGCAGGTAGTCACCAGCCTGTAACTGAAGAGAATAAATTCTTAGTAAGTTAAGGATCTGGAGGGAGACCAAGGACTACTAAGGCAGGTTGCATCTGAATGAAAGCTGAGGATGAGTCTCTAGTTTGGTTAGATTAGCAATAGCTACAGATAGAAATGTATAATTCTTGAATAGCTTAATCTCAAATAAACAGAGGCAGGATTGCTGAATTAAAAAAAATAATAATTATATATTACTGTATTTATATATAATCTATACTAGAAATCGGAAGCCGATATAAGTCTGGAGCATTATCATATTTAGTAATATCTCTGACTGTACCAGTAATCAATTATTGTTTTCAAAATAGTTTTGTAATCATGTGTCGCATAGCGGAACAGACAAAAATTTCGAAGTTATATTATTGATATATTAATTATAATAATTATATTAATGCATCAAAAAGAAATGTTTAATGATCAAAACACATCAAAAATGTAACTTTTGTATTACTTAATATGTAGAAATTGAGTATCTGTCACTATACTCCAGACAATTATATAATATATAAATGTAATATAAGAATCAGGTACCCCTCTTCTTTTTAAAATATTATATAATATTTGTTACTTTTTTTTTTTTTTTTTTTTTTTTTTTTAAGAGTGGCATCTTTTGCCTACGTCTTTTTATTTATATTATAATTATAAATTATGTGATAACTATAATATAACTACTAAAACTTCAGCTTAGGACTATTTTATCCACAAATGCATATCCCTACCTGATTTATCTAACCCTATTTCTAGTATATATTAGGATTTCTATACTATTATGTTATGTTTTTAATATATTCTTCATATACTATATAAACTACCAGATTGGTGAGATTTTTCCGCCGTTATACCTAAGTACTTCCAATTTGGTATATATACCTATCCATACATAGAGTCCTACTTAGATGAATCTTCAGATTGCTCTTCTAATCATCTCGCTGATCTTCATACCCTTTCAGTAGTAGACTTATTGTTTGAGTATATATACAATATATCCATTTATGTACTCCCCGAATTGGTATAGACCTAGACATAAGCATAATTCTAACAAGTAGAGCTACTTCCAATCAAGTTTTGCATAACAATGTTACTTCTAACTTACGGCTGTATTGGTTAGTGTTTTAGAATTGGTGTATCCATATTGGTCTTGTGTTTTGTCAGAAACTTCCAATTGGGTGCGACTTATACTGACGATGTGCGAGTCTTTTACATATACACAGATATTTTGTAACACCTCTCTATATTAACTACTTCATATTAGTATAGGTTGCCAGAGGTGTTCCTTATTTGGTTAGGCTAATTCTTTACCACAGATCCCTTTATGTTCACCACTTTTCTCACCACTCCAGTTTGTACTACAGTTGTGTTACTATCCCAAATCAAGATCCCAAGACCACCTTAGGGTTGTTGGTGATACCTTGCCACTAGCAGAATTTACTTGCACAATCTTCCTGTCGTCAAACCTTCTGTAATACCGCTATCACACGTAGTGCTCTTCTTCTCTATAATAGATCTCCTTCCAGAAATTCCTAAACCAAATTCGTACTTTACTTGGACTTCCACAGGGTTTTGCATTTAAATACTCTAGAAACCACTTCTAGTAGGACTTGAACCAAAGATCTCAGCTGTGGGGGTAGGCCACTAAGCTATAGGGCCCTAACCTTATAATATTTGTTACTGCCTTTAGAAAAATTTAAACAAACATTTATTTTGTCAAAAATCGCTTATAACTCAACATTTCGCATATAAAACTACCTTTTGTATTTTAATAAAAAACTTTCTTGTAAAATTTTATTATAACTTTTTTTTTTCGTCCTAACTCTAAATATATGAAATAAAGAATTATATTCAATCAAAAATCAGGTATAATGCAGCAGGCAGTTGCAACCATCCCAATGTTATGCCAAACACAACCTTATGTCAATTAAATAATAATATTAATATTTATTAAGTATTTAAAATTTTAAATACTAATTAAGTATTAAATTTTATATTTATTAAATACTTAATTTTTTAATTACTTTATAAATACTTTAAATAAGCATATTTTAGTACTAATCCAACCTACCTTATATTCAATAAATATTTTTTATAAGTGCTTATAAAGCGCTTTGACAAATATTGTGATGACTTCAGGTGCTTGAAGTTATAATTACAAATGCTAATTTTAAGCATAATATGATCATGACATAATGATGCTATACTATCTAATATTAGCTATAAAAATAGTAGCTAACTTTGCTATACTAACTCTAATATAATCACATCATAACAATAAAAGTAGGATTAAAAATTACATTTTATAAACTTATATTATATATAATTTCACAAAATTTCATTAATATGAATTTCATATAAATTTCACATGTAATATAGTGCTAGCACTATGAAAAACTTAGCAGCATTATTAAACTATAGTAGATTCTGCATAAAGTTCAATCAAATTAATATACATATAATTCAGTCATTATATAAGCATATGATCATATTTCTTACAAATTTTATGAAAACTATATTACTGAAAACTTACGCAAAATTACAAAAATTATGTAAAACTATAGTAATTTTACAATCCTAAGCAAAAGTAATGTCAAACTACTTTAACTTTTGCTATACAAACTCTAACATAACTATAGCACAACAAAATAAGTCCAAAAATAGAGGCCCAATGATCTAACCATGTCACTACGCTGACAATTAAGTAGAAAAAACAACTTGTTAGTAAAATTTATGCCAGAACAAGACAAAAACCAAAAGAAATTCCCTTGAAAAAAACTATATAGAAATATTCTGACCATACAAAAGCCAATTCTAAAGAAAATAAACTTCACCTAAAAAAAAAAAGAAGAGTATTAGTTAAATATGAAAAAATGAAAAAAATATTAAGAAAAGAAGTCTAGTTCCAAAAAGATGAATGAACCCCACCTAAGAATATAATGAAATGCCCAAAACTAGAAGCCTAATTCCAAGAAGAAAGATGAAATCTACCTAAAAAAGAAATAGGCATTAATCAAACATGAAAAATAAAAAAAAACACAAAACTAAAAGTCTAATTCTACAAAGATAAGCAAAGCTCACTTGAGAACACAAAGAAAACAAAACAGTATCTAAACCAGAAGCCTTAATTCCAAGACAAGCAAAACTACCTGAAAAAAAATGTATATTAGTCAAACAAGAAACCTATCTGAGAACACGAAAAAAATAGAAACATCCAAAACTAGGAGCTCTGGTTCTAAGACAAACAAAACCCACTTGAGAATACAAAGAAAACAAAATAATACCAAAACTGGAAACTCTGAATCCAAGACAAGTAAGACCCATCTAAAAACAAAAGAGTGTTAGTCAAACACAAAACCACCTAAGAACATGAAGAAAACAAAAACAATGCCAAAAACTAGAAGTGTGATTCCAAGACAAACGAAACTCACCTGATAATGCGAAAAAACTGAAGTGACACCCAAAGCTGAGAGAAAATGAAAACAATGTCCAAAACTAGAAGCATGATTCCAAGACAAATGAAACCCACCTAAGAATGTAAAGAAAACAAAACAACATCCAAAGCTAAGAAAAAATGAAAACAATGTCTAAAACTAGAAGTGTAATTTCAAGACAAACAAAACCTATCTAAAAATGCAAAAAAAATGAAACAATACTCAAAGCCAAGAGCTTGATTTTAAGAAGATAAGTAAGATCTATCTAAAAAAAAACTCCATTAGTTAAACAAGAAAACAACAGTAAGCATAACCTTGAATTTGGAAAAAAAGAATTTGTGATTATCAATGATCATTTGTTTATATATCCTCTGGTTATTACGTAATATATAGAATAGATATAAAAAATTTTAATATACTCTATAGGTACATTTATATTAATTCTTATATATATATTAAATATTTTAATCTATTTTTAGAATCTGATTACAAATTAGACAAAGTTATTTTTAAAACTTTTTACAAAATATTCACCTTCACAACTTAAACTATTTAAGTTATATAATTGGTGTTGTTATAGCGGTACTTTTAAAAAAAGAGTTTAAGAAAAGCAAGAGAAAAGTTTAAGCAAAAGGATTTATTTACTTGTTTTAAAAACAATAAAGACATTACAAAGTCATTAGAATAAAGAGAATATTATAGAAATATTTAAAAAACAATATTTTAAAAAGTATTATTTAATAGTTTCTATTTATTATCTACTCTAACTATTTAGTTATCTTGTCTGTTGTTTGTTGGAGTAAAAAGAAAAAGTCTCTTTAAATACCTATTAGATTGGTATACAGTAGTATACAACTATGTAGAGTATACTGGCATATACTGGTATATAATTATATGTATTGTACTAATATATACTAATTTATAACTATGTGGCAAGTAGCATATACTGATATACAACCATATAGCAGGTGGCATATACTGGTATACAGTACAACCATATGGCAAGTGGTATATACTGATATATGGTATATACTGCATATAGCATATACTGGTATACAGCATATACTAGCATATAGTATACAGTGGCATATAGTATATACTGATATAGTATATACTCTAATATTCTAACTATTCTTTTTTTTTGTAGTCAAAGTTAGTCTCTTTGGCTTTCTGCTTTTATTAGATTATAGAATCATGTGGTGCTCTTTTCAAAGAGGCCTCAGACAAGTATATTCTGATGAGAGTACATTCTAGCTATACTTGTACCTTTTGAGTATCTAATTTAAATAATTTGCCTATTACTAGGTTCTATACTAGATGCTGTACCTATAACCCACTATTATTTAGGTTAGGGTATAGATATTTATCAGGTGATTTCTACCTCTTAAGAGAGTACCCTACCTGATACTAACTAGCTAATCAAATTTAAGTAAATATTATATAGTCTAATATTAATACATATATAATTATTAATAGTTACTCTATAGTAAAGTCAAAATTTTACTAAGTAAATTAATATACCTTATTAAGTAAAAGTTACTCAAAAAAACAAAAAATATATATTTTAAAAGTTTTATTCAAATTGAATAAATTTTTATTAATTCATTTTTGCATATTATGTTTGATAAAAAATTTAAAAATTTCTTAAAATTTTTATTTATTGAATATAAAAAGCAAAAGTTAATTAATAAAAAGTTATCTGATTTATATAAAATTTTTAAAATATATGCATTTTGATCTTCTGAACAAACTTTACTTAATATACATAATTGATTTATATAATAAAATTTTTGCAATTAAGCAAAATCTACTTTTATTCTAATATTTTTTTTTTTGAATATTAATGATAAGACTATGTCTTTATCTTTATTGAAATTTAATTTGATTCTCTTACAATAAAAAGAATACATTTAAACTCCATATCCTAAAATAATAAGAAAAGAAACTCAGACTAGTTTATCTACGGCCTAAACCAACTAGGGTGGCTATGGCTCATCTAGATTTGAGAATTAGTAATTATAGATATTAAACTTGTTTGGTATTTGATCCATAAAGGATACCAAAGTGTTAATTTGTTGCTAGCTAAAATAAAAGGTGAAGATTAAGAAGATGAAGAAAATGTATGAGATGAGACAGGAGGTGAAGAAGATGAAGTATTATTACAGGACATATTTGAGGAACAAGAAATATAATAAGGTATCCAAATATTATGATAGATTTGTGAATTAAGATATAAAAGAAATTTTATAGTAATTGTAGAAGCTAATTTGGTAGATAATATAATATCTTTGAGCATATATATGATATCAAGGGGTACTAAACCTGACAGAGTAAAGTAGATAGATAAAATGTGATTATTATGATGAAATGTCATACTATCAAGATTTTTGATTTGATTATGAAGTGTAATAACTGATTCTGATGCAATATCTAAAGATGTAGAGTTAATGATCTGTTGTAAAGAACTATCAATAAGATTGTGAAGTAATACTGGTGATGGACAAGTAACCCAATGTAATAAGGTACTAGTATGGTTGCATTGATGACAGTTTGGTGAGAATTGGTGTTTGTGTTAATATAGTATATGAGAAGTAGGAAGCTCATCAAAAAGAATTTTAACACAGAATGATTTGAGAGTAAAAGATTGAAAACTATGTGAGAAATTTGTAATTTTTTGGTTGTTATTCATATAGAGCCATATAGCAGACCAGTTAATATAGTGAGTGATTTGTAACCATTGTTGAAATCTGTTTTGAGATGACCACAAGGCATAGATATGTGTATAGCAGATATATAAATAATGCGTCGGATTGGTAGCTCTAGTGAATATTCATTAAATTGAAAAATAAAATTAGGATTATAAATGTTATAAGGTTTGAAAATAAGATAATCTGAAGTAACATGACATCAGGCTAGTTGATTAGCCAGATTATTGAATCGATCTTTTTGGTGTACAGTCACTTTGTGAAAATTGATTTGAAGATTATATGCCTTAGTAATATTAATGAAAGTATGCCAAAGTATAGAATATGAAGAATTTGTAGAGGATAAAGAATGTGGAAATTGTTTAAAGCTATTGTATTTGGAAATAACTGATTGTGAATCAGTAAAGATATGAACGATACAAAATCTAGGAGCTGTAATAATTGCTAAAAGTATAGCAACAAGTTCTGCTTTAAAGGAACAAGGCCAGTATTTGATTTGTGTCTGAAATCTGTATAATATATTCTCTTGATGAATTTGTATCCATCCGATGCCCATTGAACAGTTTGGTAAGCCAAGGTTAAATACAGAACCATCTATATAAAAAAAAATTTCAGAGAGCTGAATATTAAAGTTTGCAATAGTTTGGAGGGTATTAGTAAAAGGACCAGATTCAAAAATAAGTAGAATTAAAGCAACATTATAAAGAATATTAGGAGCAGGTGGAATATTAAGGGGATGACGAATAGCAATAAAGTATATTAAGTCTAAAAAGTTGGTGTAAGGTTTAATAGTTTTGTTCATTGGGTTGTAAATACAAAAGAATTTGGATATTAAATTAATTAAAATAAATAGTGTACATCTATTAGTAATGTTTACAGTCATAAGAGCAGCCAGAACATGGCTTAATATTAATAGGAGGTGTTAGATATAGTTTGGTAGATTGTGACTTAAAAGAGCATTGCTAGTGTATTATAAGAACAAGACCAGTTGGAGTAGGCTGTCTTCTTGCTTTACCAATTATTATCTGGTCTTCAATAGTAGTTATAAGCCATAGTTTTGATTTTAGAGAAAAGTGATCAGTAGAAAAGCAATAATAATTAATATCAAGAAGGTTGTAGTGACTATAAAGTGTTCTGTTAAGCTGATGGTTAGTTACTTGATCTTCAAGAATTGTAAACTATAAAGGTTTTACTTTTATTCTAATATAATTTTTATATTTTTAAATATTATTATTAAAAATTTTATATAATTAAATTAGACAATTTTGATTGGCTAATAATACTATATTATATAGCATCTAATAACTCCTGTGACTTCCTCCCCCTAAAAAATCAGTTGATAAATATTTATATCCTTATCTATATTCTAATTATTTTAAATACAAAATAATTTCTAATATAAGGCTATACAAAAAGTTTTTTTGGTTTTCATAATATAGAGCTGTTTAAACTGACCTAGCTAGCCAATTTTTTTTTAAAATTTTATATATAAAAATTTTATAAATTATTTTAAAAATTTTTAAAAAACCTATCTGGTTATTAAAACATAAAAAAAATTTTTTACAAGTTTTCAAATTTTAATCTAACTGGATTATGAAAATCAAAAAATTTTTTTATATGACCTATTATAAATTTAACAAGAATTATATCTAAAATATAAACTATAAATTTTTTTTTTTTTTAATGTTAAGATGACCACTTTGGGGTCTAGCACATTTTATTGAACTTTGATTCAAATGTCAGAGCAACCTACATGGGCTACTCCTGACTTTGTTACATTAACAAAGATACAACTAGCTATATGTACAACTTTTGGTTGTCTATTTAAGCAGTCTTGCATACATAACCTATATAAACTACACTAGCTGCCATACCTATAATCCAGCTAAAGGAATTATCTATTTAAACCCTCTGATCAACTTAGCACTGTCAGATATTCTTCTCAAAGAGTGACTGCCAAAAAGGCTCCTTAGGACTTTAACACTACTATATAGAGGGTCCTTTATCCTCGTGATAAACCTACCAGAGCGGTCCATATTACACATATATATTATCTAGATTTTTGATAACTTATAGCTAGGCCGCGGCCAAGTACTTGCGGCTTTTTACCTTCACTACTATTATCTACTCCTTGCTCTTGCAAAGTTTACCCAAACTCTAGCACCCACTTTACAGACTATCAACAGTACTTCGATGCCAACCATTGGTACCCAAAACTTCCAATCCAGATAGCCCGGAAGGGACCAGTGGGCGTCTTCTAGTATTCTGAATGAATTCTTTTTCCTCCGGTTGTCTGGTAGCCTGGTTAGTATAGTATTTGCCAAACACTCAGTCCTCATTTAGTTTGCCTTCAGTGTTTGATTCCTCAGATAATAATCCTTTACATAGCACTATCAAAGATCTGTGCTACCTCTCTACTTGAGACTTCCCAAGCAGGCTTCTGTATCTTCTGATCCCTTAGATTTATTTAGCTGCTTCACTCAGGTTTTATGTAACTTATGCATCATACTACATTCCACAACCTTCTAATGCGAGTTGGTGAGACCAAAGTCACAGGTGTTTATCTGATCAATATGTTATACAGTTTTATCTAATACATTTCTGCAAATTCGAATTTCATTGCCAGTGGGATTCGAACTCTTGTCCTGCCACTTGGGGGTGCAACAACTTACTAACTACAC